CCCAGAGTCCCACTCCCCGTTGAGTGAAGACCTCCTATCCCCGGTTTCTCTCCACGCACACCCCGGTCTCGGGCGCTGCTCGGGGCCTGGCCCAGTGACCCTGCGCTCTGTCTCTTTGCAGGCGCTGATTTGCAGCTGTTTTGTGCCCATTTACTGCGGCCTGATCCCGCCCCTGTTCCGCGGCGTGGTAAGTGTTGGACCCGCGGTGAAAGAGTGGGTGGATCCGTGTGCGCACATCTCCGCCTGGCGGCGGTCCTGGTTTCCGCTGCCCCCCATGCTCGCTCCACAGGGTGCAGATTTCTGGTCTGGGAGCTCGTGTGTGAGTTTCTGGGTTCTTGGCACGGGACTGCACTCCCCCTCCCTCCCCTGCTCTGCTGGCCTTTGGTCCCTTTCTCTTTGCTCTGCTTGATGACCAGAGCGTCCCGTCTCGCTACAGGGTACTGTGTGTCTGCACAGTGTGCTCAGCGTCTCTGTAACCTGTAGGGACTTGCATTGCCGAAGAGCGGAGCCGATGCCCCTGCGAATCCGGTGCTCAATTAAACAAGAGCTTGTGCGAGCTCGCTGTTCACAGGAAGGCCCCGACAAAGCCCAGTCATGCCGCCAGTTCAGAGCTGCTGGATAGCAAAGCCTCCTGGCCGATAGCTGAGGTGTTACCCTGACACCTGTTGTCATGGCAGCTATAAGGGTGGGGAAGCCAACCTACTGCAGCAACTTCTACTTCCAGGAAACATCAGTGATTAGTGCTTCTAACACGGCTTCTCTGTCCCTCTGAGCGAGGGACGTCCGTTCACTGTTCTGCTCTGTTTGCCAGGGCGTCTGGGGCTCAGGCTCAGGTCTTCCCCTCTGCTAAAATCAGAAGGATCTTAAATACCCCCAAAATAATAGATGCGTGTGTTTCAGTGGTTTCACACATTGACTAGGGCTCAGATTTAAAGTCTTATAGTTGGGGTGTTCCCTGCTTTACTCCGGCACGGCTCTGTGCTGCATGTGAGGCAGAAGATGTGGTCACTCAGGTGGGCTGGCGACCTGCGGTCAGCGGCGCTCGCTGATGACCCTTCACTGGATGGCCCAGGCACTGAAACCAGGCGCAAAGAACAATAGTAGTTGAAGTTTGTGGTTTTGTCTTTTTCATTTCTGTATCTAGGTTCATTCCTGAAACTTGAAGGACTGCAGATTAGGAAGACATTGAACATTTCCTAACCAGCTCCGTGCTGGGGGGCAAACAAGTGTCCTGTTTGTTTTGGCATGGCTGCAAGCCTTTAGACAGGTGATCTGTGGTCAGAAAGGGGTAAATAGCTCGTCTTTCGCCGCCTTGGAAGTGCGCAAGTCTGCACATCGCACTGCTTCGCCTACTGAGGCGGGTCGTACCGGGGCAGCAGAGCTGTGTGGCTCACTGCCCGCGGCTCGGGACACTGCTGGGAGCCGGGGAGCGCCTGGCTGGGACCTGTCCGCGCGCTGGGACTGCAGAGGCGCTGTAGGGAAGAGAAGGTGGGTGGACAAGGAGCAGTACTTACAGCGGTGTAGTGGACAGCTCAGTTAATACGTAACCACCCTGAAGAGAGAGAAGAGTCAGCCAGGAGGCAGGTTCCTGCAGAATCGGAATTAAAATCTGCACACAGCATGACGTTTGTGGGAGCAGTCACAGGGCCCCAGGACCTTCTGGTGCATGAAACCGCTGTGCAGATTCCTCCTATAGAAGAAAAAAACACCTTTTCAGGTCATGTTGTGTGTACATGTACATGTGTGTTGTTGTGCACCAAAAATGTAACCGCAAATTCTGGGGAGGATATGGTCTGCCCTGCCGATGAGCTCCAGTTTAACCCCCGCGTCTGACACAATTCTGAACAGGATCTTACAAAATCGGAGCTCTGTCCGAATGCTAACGAGCATTGGTCAGCCCTGTCCAGAGACTGGGGCATGCTGGGACTGCAGGTATTTTGTCGTGTAACTTCTCAGTTGTGTACAGAGCGGAGAGCGTTGACCCCTTAATCTCATGAACAGCTGACCACGTCTTTTCTCAAGACCACAAGAAAAAACACAGAGGGAGACAAATCAGGAGAAAATAAACACTGCCACGTGCTTTTTTTCACACTGCTGGCACATGATCTAGCAAAAACAAATACCACTGATTTAGGAGCTCTCTTCAACAGTTATAATGCTGCGTAAGACAAAACGTGCTACAGTTTTTAAAATCAAACAAGTTTTTAAAAACAAAATTTTACTAAAAACAGCACCTTCCCTTCCCTATCTGTAACTGTGTGTGTGTAACTCCCATCTCTGCAGTGACAGTAGTGAAGGATTGTGACTCTCACCAGCCAGCAATCCATTGCCCACTTCTCTTCAATCCTTTGAAATGGGAATAAGATGTTCATATTTCTTGCATAGGATTTCATTATGCTGGATGTGTAGAATGAGCAGAAAAGGTAACTTTGCACAGCAAAAATAATGTTTCAGTTCTACTTGACGTGAAAAAATGAATTGCATAAAAATGAATGAAGAAGTTATGGCAGTGTTTTTGATTTGTTGAGTGGATGTAGTTGTCTTGCTCTGTAACGTGCTTTCCGTTCAGCTTCAGGGTGAAACAGGACTGTAGTCTTTTCCGATTGATCAGATTGAGGTACACGGTTGAGTGCTCGGTTTCCACTGCTCTTGCAGGCAGTAAGGATACAGCCTGAACCCATCTGACTGTCACGTCTCCTTCAGCTGGGGGCTTAGTACTGTGCAGTAGCCCCACTTGAACTGTTCCTGAGGGAGGTGCTAGACAAATATTAAAACTCATTCCCATGGTCTGCTGGCTGCTGTCAAACCTTCTTGCTCTTGGTGGAGACTTGTTTTCGAACAGGGACAAAACAGTCATTTAAACTTCTCGGAAATTAAGTGCCTGGACGCTGATGAATTTTATTGGATTCATTATATTGTGAAATAGAAAATTTCCTTACAAAAACAAATCTAATATAATCTTAATTGTCACAGTTTAGAAGACACACCACACACCTGTTCGAGACCGCGGCCTCGCCGCCAGCACCCGTCCTCGGGCCCGTTCGAGACCACTGGAGAAATCACTGAGAACACAATCAGAGAACTAGTTTATTGAGTCATATTTGCACTGCGTTCTGTAGCCTAAATTGACACTTTTTAAATTTGATCTTTACCTCTTAATATTGAAAGGCTTCAATCACGTCTTTACATAAGTAACAGTCTCTTGATAATCCAGATTGGTGGTTAATAGGTTCATCTTTGTACACTTTGAAATGGGCCTTTTACAGAAACCCTGTGCATTTTGTCTTATTGCAGACAGGATCGTGGAGGTCCTGGTGTTGCCCTGGATTTGATATTGACCATGAAATAGACTGTTACTAACGTCAAGACAGTCCCCCATGCAGAAGGGCATGATGCTGCAGTGGACAGAGGACGCATTGTGCTGCTGTTTCACCCATGTTTGTCTTCGTTAGCCGTGTGCTCCTTTATAAATTGTGTTTATAAAAGAAATAGAAACGTCATTTTGTTTGTGACTGCATCACATGACTGTCTGTTCCAGTTTCATGGTTACATGTGGTTGAATTCAGCCATCTACGGTATTTGTTCAAGTATATTAATGCAAATAAAAGGATCTGAGTTTGATTACCACACTTATATTCTGTTACAAGGATTGGCTTATAAAAGACCTGCAGTCGGTAACTCGCTGTAGTCAGTTTCATCTGCGTCACTCCTGAAATGCCAACAAATGAAGAGAGGGACAAGTGAGTTGTGGGCTTTGAATATCCACCCTTGATTTAGTGATTTGGCTGGATGTTTCTCACCACGTACAGGATTAGTGCCGACAGTCTGTTGTTCCCAGTGCTCCAGTTGGAGCTGCTCCAAGCTGGAGGTATCTAGGTCAGTCCTGCTGGTCTGGCCTAGTCTCGGATGAACTGCACCCGGACCATCTGGGCTCAGCGTGCTTGAGCACCGAGTCAAATAATAATGAGCTACTTGCTGGAAAGGAGTCAAGAATGTAGGAGAGAAGGAGGAGGAGGAGCCTTTAAATACAATTTTGTTCCATTTTGGTGTCTGTGAAATGTTTTTTTTTAAATGTGTAGCAGAAAATATTTCTTGTGTTATTTTTACTCAAAAGTAAACAAAAAAGTTACTTTTTGAAGGAAGCTGTGTGGAAGACACAGTGGTGCTATGGTCTGGTCTTTTATCACCTCATTCAGCTCAAAGTCTTGTCCATTTTGATTATTGTGTGTCCTTGCTACAAGTTTTTTTTTTTCTTGAACTGAACAAAGCCTGATAATCGCATGACAGATGCTGCAGTAATCTTTTTTTCGGTAAGTGTTGAGGATAGGAGTCTGTATTGACTAGAATTGCGTCATTTCTGGGTGTTTTATGAGCAACTGGACTCCGCAGTCGGGGTGGTTTGCGATAAGAAGGATGAGCACAGTGGCTCTCCTGCACCCAGCTCATGTGAATCTGGGGTGCCCTGTCCCAGCAAGCAACGGGCACAAGGCACGGTGCACCCTGGGGATCCCTCCATTGAAAAGTGGTGTGAGGAATAAAAAGACATCGTCCCTTCATACTCTCTGTAGATGCATCTTTTTTGTCTTCTGTCATGTGCACAAATACTGTACAAGCAGTACAATACTATAAGAAAGGCGAGACAAATCTGGCCATCTAGCCTATTAGCTCGCAGTTAATTGGTAGTTAGTAGTTATATAACAGTAGTAGTTAATCCAAGGATCTCATCCAGTTTTCCAGTTTCTTAAAAGAATTAAGGGTCTCGGCATGTTCCCTGTTCCTCATGCTCTCAGTTTTAAATACACTTTCCCCCCACATCCTTGTTAGGTGGGGTGTCTCATACGGACAAGTTGTTTCTAACACCTGGCAGTGAGGAAAGCCAGCAGTAGCTGTAATGTTGCTGACGAGGCTGTGGTTCCACAGGGACCAGCAGCGTCTCGGGCTGTGTGCTGGGGCGTCTTCCTGCTTCGTAGAAACAAGCAGCTCCGTTTTCAGAGTTCACAAGAATCCTCTGGTCTCGTGTACGATTTCGCTGTCCCCTGCCCTGTGTTTTCCTGCTGTGTCTCTGCAGGCCTGTCTTTGTCTGCCTGGTGGCAGCCGCTCTGGGAAGAGCCTGTGCTGCAGCCCTGCTCCGTCTGGAGGGAGCTGTTCGTGAGCGAGGCTCGGTGGCCATGCGGCGCATAGCTGTGCAGCAGCTGTAAGGTGACACCCCGGTGTCCTGGGGGCCACGCAGGGTAACTGTAAGGGTACTTCATGCACTCTGGTGATACCTCCCAGAGTGCGCAGACAGGGTTGTTCGTGGGCACTCCTTACACGACACCTTGTTGCCTTTGCACATGGGCTCCCAGCTGGCCTGGCGATGAGGCACTTGGTATCGCTGCCTCTCAGCTTTTGGGTCCCAGACTCAGTTCTGGGGTGGAGCACCTTCTGTGTGGAGTTTGATTGTTGTCCCTGGTTTCCCCTACATGCTCTGGTTCCTTTCCACAGTCCGAAGACATGCGGTCTGGGGTTATTGGTGTCTCTTGACTGTCCCTTGTACCCTCCTGCTTTGTGTCCACTGTCGGCTGGGTGAGGGTCACGAGCAGATATGTTCTGGTGTGTGTCTCTGTGCCC